GGCCGCCGCACGTGTTCCCGCCGGGCCGGCTCCCCGGGCGTCAGGCCCAAACCCGCCGCTTTCCGCCGCGGGCCCCGGTGCTTGGCGTGCAGACGCCCCTGCTCCCGCTCCGGGGCCCGGCTCTCCTCGGCCCCACTCACCCCGCCCCCCGCCCCGGAGCTCCCGCCCCTCCCAGGTGTGTCCCCACAAACCCCAGGGATTGCGGGTGCTGCTGCGGCCACGTCCCGGGCTCCCCGGACTTGTCCCTCCCAGCGGTCACATGACAAGGCCGAAGCCCCAGCTACCCTGCCATCGCCCCCTTTCCCTGCACTTCCTCGCGGAGACCCCGGCAGCCTGTCGGTGCAGACGGGGTGCAGGACTCCCAGGCCCCAGCGCCCTAAGAGCCCAGGGTCCCAAGTTGGGGTCTCTGGGGGGTGGTTTGAAGAGACACCCCGTCCCCAGGTTTCCTGTACAAGGGTCCGCCCACTGCGGTCTCAGGAAACGTGGGCAGGTGTCCCCGCGCTGTGCTCCCACCTCCTCGCTGGGTCCCAGGAACTAGATTTCCAGGGAGTTGTCCGGTTTACAAATGCTGGACTGCTAACCGCAAGGTCGGCAGTTCAAGCCCACCAGCCACTCCTCGGGAGACAGGGGAGGCGTGTTAGACGTGGGGTCAGCAGTTCGAGTCTCCTAGCTGTTCCTCCGGAGAAAGATGAAGCTTTTTGCTCCTGTAAGCATTTTTATAGGATTGCTGGGAGTCGGAACCGACTGGGTGGTACACAGCCACCACTAGCCGTCAGTTGGTGTGGCGCTGCACTGCAGACCATGAGGTCATCGGTTCAAACCCACCAGCCCTCCTTGGGAGGAAGGGGAAGCTTGTCTGCACCCGTAAAGGTGTAGTAACTGGAACCACATCCAGGGTCGATATGAGTCGGAACGGACTCGGCACACGTGGGTTTGGGCCTCAGGTGGCAGGCTAGCTGGGACAAAAGACTTGTGGGTGTGGAGAGGGGACAGGGATCTCTGAGGCCACATCTCCTGTCTTGGACCCCACTTGTCTGGTCTCTAACCAGCTTCCTGTACCCTCAGAGCCGTTGATGACAAAATGTGTTCCACAGCCTCACCCAAGTGTTGGTGACAAATGCCATGCTTAGGGTCCCCCCAGTAAAGCAGAGCCAGAATCTTTTCCAAGCAGGCTTTTCCCCGCTGGATGTTACCGTCTGGGCACTGCCTCCAGGGGTGTCTCCTTCTGCCTGGTGTGCGGGCTGGAGACCCACCTGCCCCATCAGAGCACAGGCTTTCCAGCAACTCAGTGGGTGTTGCTGGGTAAGGGTGCTTCCTCCACAGCGTCCCTGTTGATAGCTTCTGATTGGCCTTAGTGTGCCGGTGGTTTTCTTTCTCGTGTGTAGATGGTTTGGTGGCACAGCTTTTGAATCGTGCGTGCCTCCTTTCTGAATGACCTGGGGTGCTTTCAGGAGAAGTGGCCAGTGGCACTGGAGTCCTAGGGTGGTGCTGTGGGATCTGAACCCCGGGGTCCGCAGTTGGTTTAAGCAGCTGCTCTACGAGAGAAAGACGGGGCAGTCTGCTTCCGTAAAGAGCAGCTTCTGAGATCCTGTGGGGCAGTTCTGCTTGGCCCTAACACTCCCACCACTTGGAACGGACTTGCTGGCAGTGGGCTTGGTTTGGGGGACGGGAGAGTGGTGGCTTAGTGCTCGACGTCCGTGCTTCCTTGTCGAGGACAGCCTAACGGAGCTTTGCTCTGTGGTCCTGGGCCATCTCTTTCCTGTGACTACACAGGATTTGTGGGACCCCTGCAGGAGTGCGTCCCCCTCCTTGGCATCTGGGGATGTGTTTTAGGATTTGGCTGTGCTCCCACACTTCTGCAGCGTTGTCTTCTTGCACTGAGGTCGTCTGAAGAAGTTGGGTGTTGTGTGTGCCGAGTTGACAACCTGCTGACCTCAAGAAGCCGCTGAAGGGTGGCTGGGTCTTTGGTTGCAGAGCAGCTGGCACGTGCTGGCGTGGACGCAGGGTACTTACAGGTTAGGTCTCCACCTGCGACTGGTGATTTGTTACCATGGTCATCTCTCAGTCCTTTTCTTGGGTGTGAGTTTGTAAACCATGCTTTGCTCCTTGTTCTAGGTCATCCACGGTGGGTTTCAGTGAGCTTTTGCAACGCCCAGAGTGACTCTTGGACTCAGCTTCCTGTTCACGTCCTGTCCCCCTGCCCGTGGGCCGTGGAGTCATGGCTACGGAGGAGAAGAAGCCAGAGACCGAGGCCGCCCGGGCACAGCCGACGCCTTCATCCTCGGCCACTCAGAGCAAGGTGTGTGCCGAGGGCTCCTGGGTGTTCCCTGCTCGGCTCTAGCGGAGTGCCCAGCTCTGCCCCTTGAGCACAAGGCCTGTGGATGGCGCCCCTGTAACCTGTTCACTCCCAGCTAGGCGTGTGACTCCCCAAGGTCACCAAGCCTCGGTTTGCTTTGGGAAGGCTGGACTTGGGATGGGAGGGGGTTCCAGAGCCCGTGGGGACACCCGTGGTGTGAGCTGGGGGCTGGGGCAGTGCTTTGAGGTGGCCTCAGACCTAGCCTGGACAGTGGGACCCTAGGACAGATGGGACTCCAAGAGAGAGGTTTGTTTGTGGGGGAGAGGGGGGCTCCGTAATGGCGCAGTGGTTAAGTGCTCAGCTGCTAACTGGAAAGGTTGGTGGTCAGACCTACCAGCTGCTCCGAGGGAGAAAGATACGGCTTCTGTAGTAAGGATGGCAGTCATGGGGACCCTGTGGGGCGGTTCTGCCCTGTTCTGTGGGTCACTGAGTCAGAACTGACTTGACAACAGTGGGTTTGAATGAAAGGATCTCTCGTGGCACAATAGTTAAGCACTTGGCTGTTACCCGGAAGATTAGTGGTTCAGACTCATCTGTTGGCTCCACCAGCTAAAACCTGGAGATCTGCACCCGTAGACATTCAGCGTAGAGACCTCCGCGGGGCAGTTCTCTACTGTCCGGTTGGATTGCTGGAAATCAGAATCGAGGGCACCTAAAACAATGGAGTTCTGATTTAGATACCGGCAAGTTGAGAGAGGCACATCCAGGTCAAGATTCCTAGGGGCCCTTGGAATAGAGATTTGGAGACGGGTCTGGGTTTGAAACCGTTTTGGAAATCCCATCCAGGCTGGTCATAGCATTTTTTTAAGCGATCAGTTGTGAATTGAGTGGGTGTTTACAGAGCAGATGATCAGTTTTACACTTCTCTTTGTTACAGTGATTGCAGTCCCACCAGGTACCAACCGTTTCACTGTGTTTACCTATATTTACTTGAACTACTTTCGTCCTTCCTGTGGCTCCCGCTACCTTCCGTTTCCTCGGCCAACCTCCCTCTTGTTTGTTGCCTGCCCGTCACCCAAGTTAACACGTGTCTCTCCTCTAGCCTGTGAATCACCATCTTTTCATCCCAGTGATCATCATAGAATGTTTCTTACATCAAGAAAGCCTTTTCTGTTAACTATAGTTATTGTTAATGCTGTTGAGTCGGTTCCGACCCTTAGCGACCCTGTATAGGGTTTCCAAGGAGTGGCTACTGAGTTTGAACCGCCTACTTGGCAGTTCAAGGAGCTTTGGTAGTGTAGTGGTTACGAATTGGGCTGCTAACCTCAAGGTCGGAATTTCGAAACTACCAGCCGCTCCGTGGGAGAAAGATGAGGCTTTCCGCTCTCGTAAAGATTTGCAGCCTCGGAAACCCTGTGCAGGGTCACTATGAGTCGGAATCGACTCCATGGTACTTAACACCAACCTTGCAGTTCAAAGTAGCCTTGTGGTTGATTGCTTATCCTACATCGCCACACCAGGACACTACCATGGTTTCCTACGGTATTTGTCCTTTTCGCGATCCACTAATTCCACTCGGCTTTATCCTTGTTGGTTCTCAGAGTCACTGGTAGTCTTCAGGGCTGCAGAGTATTCCACTGTGCGTCTCTGCCCAAGTCTCTTCAGCCATCCTGTGTTGATGGGCACTTAGAGTGTCCGCATGTGTTGTCATGCAGTGGTGAGCATGGGCGGGCACGCGTCCAGTCTTGCCATTTCTTGAGGATAGACACCAGGAGAGGGATTGCTGGGTCGTATGGTGTTTCTATTCCCACCTTTATGAGGAAGTGCATTACCGTTGTCCACAGCGGTTGTACCATTTCCAGTCCCACCAGCAGTGTAGGAGGGTCCCAGGCTCTCCACATGGTCACCAGCGTTTGTTGTTTTCTGGGTTTTTGGAGGTGATTGTATGTTGGGTGAAAGTTCACAGAGGATACTCAGTTTCCATTTAGCCATTCTTACATTGCCCCAAGGTGGCCTCTGCAGCGGCAGAGCTTTCTTCCCACTTCCCCTTGGGTTGGTTGGTCTTTTGCAAAAGTTAACGTTCCTTTGTATCCCAACAGCCTACACCTGTTAAACCAAACTACGCCCTGAAGTTCACCCTGGCGGGCCACACGAAAGCTGTGTCATCCGTGAAATTCAGCCCCAACGGAGAATGGCTGGCCAGTTCCTGTGAGTACCCCGCACTCCTGCCGGGCTTCTTGTGGAATTGGGTCCCCGGGCAGTGTCCCTCCTGACCAGGACACGGGGTCTGTGTGTCCTACCCTGATGGAAGTGGGGGGGAACAGGGCAGAGATGTCCTGATACAGCAGCAGCGGGGCCTGCCCTCCGTGTCACGTGAGTCGAGGCCCGGGCCAGCTGGGCGCCTGGACAGTGCATCTACCCTGAACCTCAGCTTCTCCTCGTTGGCTTCTTTCAGCTGCTGATAAACTCATTAAAATTTGGGGTGCTTATGACGGAAAATTTGAGAAAACCATATCTGGTCACAAACTGGTAGGTATCCGCCGATTGGATTCAGGACACAGTAAAGGTGATTGTGGTCTAGGAGAGTCAGAGGGCACTGGGGGTCTGCGGGCCACGGGGAGGGCAATGGTCAGAATGATGGGTAGGGTTCCCTGCGCCTGTGTGTCTTCAGGTGGGCGTTTGTCGTTCTGACCTTGGCTAGTTAATCCCACTTACCACATGGAGATGCTAACCGTGACCTTGTCTCCAGGGGATATCTGATGTGGCCTGGTCATCAGATTCGAACCTGCTGGTCTCCGCCTCGGACGACAAGACCCTGAAGATCTGGGACGTGAGCTCGGTAAACCGGCTCTGACTGGGCTGGAGCGGGGGCACGGCGGGCGGGGGGGTGCTCGGGCCGGCAGTACCCGTTCTTTGAGGTTTTGGAAGCTGCTGCTGCAGGCTGGAGGAAGGGTCCCATGGCGAGTGTAGCGCAGATGCTGGTGTTTGGGAAGGACTCCCCGGGGATGCTTCTTTATCTGTTGATGCTGTTTCAGGGGAAGTGTCTGAAAACCCTGAAGGGTCACAGTAATTACGTCTTTTGCTGCAACTTCAACCCTCAGTCCAACCTCATCGTCTCAGGATCGGTAAGCAAGCTGCTGTTGTCATCTGAGGGGAGGGATGTGGGTGTGGGGGGTGCACGCCTTACTGTACAATGCTGGGGCTGACGCAGGTCCTAGGAGCCTGAGAATGGTTTTAATCTGTCCTGATTTCTCCTTCAGTTTGATGAAAGCGTGCGGATATGGGACGTGAAGACAGGGAAGTGTCTCAAGACTTTGCCTGCTCACTCAGACCCGGTCTCAGCTGTAAGTCCCGCCACGCTGGACTTACTGCCCACTGGAGGGGTGCAGAGCTGATGTGGTCCCTGTGGGCAGGGGCAGGGGCGGCGCCTGGGCCCGAGGGTGTGACAAAAGGATGCCCGTGTGCTGGGAAAGCTGAATTATGAGGGGTTTTTAGCTGGGTTGATTGGTGAGCTCCTGTAAGAGCCATCTGAAGGTGGGGCTGAACCTGAGGTTCCTGGTCCATGCCACATTAACTTACACACCAACCACATTAACCACACCTTTATTTGCATCCAAAAGGTGGTATGGTGGGTGAGTGCTGGGCTGCCCGGGGGAGCCTCTGTAGAGCCCACAGCCCTCCTCTGTGCTCACAGGGTCTGTGAGTTGGAATTGACTCAGTGGCAGTGAGTTTGAGTCTCTTCCAACCCCTGGGGACCCCTGTTGCTGAGTAGGATTGCCTCTTAGGGTTCCAGCCTGTTTGCCTTTTAGGAGCCAAGGCTGGTGATGCCAGGAGTAGTGCCTGGCTGCTGACTGGAAGGCTGACCGTTTGCCCCCACCAGCCGCTTCTCAGATGGAGCTAAGGCAGTCTGTTTTCACAGAGGTCCCTCGGAGACCCTGTGGGGCAGCTTTCTGTGCTCCAGGGTTGCTGACTCGAGTCAGGATCCACTTGAAGCCTGGGAGAGTTAGCAGCTGAGCATCTGGCCACTGCACCCTCAGGGCTCCTCTGATGAAACGGGCCTTTTACAGTTGGTCCCATTAGTGTGTGTGCTCACTAAGGGGTGGCAGGGGCCCAAGTACACGTAGAAAGTAGAAAATCAGAGTCAGCTGTCAGCAGTGTGGGCTCTGCCTTCTGCAGGCTTTGTTGTTTTTAAATGTAAACTTGCTAAACTCCCTCCCTCCCATTCCTTCTTAAAATGAGGAACTGACGCCACGGGATGCCACCCCCACACAGTACCGTAGAGGAGCCTTGGTGGCTGCCCAGGTGGCTGCAGGTCAGTAGTCAGAATCTACCCGTCGCTCTGTAGAAAGAGACAGCCCTGGAGACCCGCAGAGCAGGGGTGTTCTGGCTTTGCCAAGACAGCCGCACTTCGAACTGTCATGCTGTGCTTGTCAAGTGCTGTGAAGTTGGCTCCAACTCATGGCAACCCTGTACAGGGCTTCTGAGAAGCTGCTGGTGGGTTTGAACCGCCGACCTTGTGGTTCAAAGTCCAGTGCTGATCTACAGCGGCACCCCAGAAGTCCAGCCTTCATGTTGTTACGTGCCATTGAGTCTGTTCCGACCCATAGTGACCCTGTACAGGGTTTCCTAGGAGCAGCTGGTGAAGATGAACTGCTGACCTTGAGGTTCAGACCGACTAGTCCACTCACCAGCCTGGGCCGACCCCCATGTGGACCTGGCGTGGTGAGCCCTCATCACACAGAGTTGGGCAGGGAGCTACCTCGGCTGTATGTGGTCTTAGGGGCAAGTTCCTGCAGGTGGGTTTTCAGAAGAGGAGACGAGGCTGTACGAGGCTCAGCTATTCTGCTTTCTGATGGATTGAGGGCTAGCTCAGCAAGGGGCCTGATGGATTGAGGGCTAGCTCAGCAAGGG